GGAGGACTAAAGGAGGTCTAAAGGAGGACTAAAGAAGGTCTAAAGGAGGACTAAAGGAGGTGTAAAGGAGGTTTAAAGGTCTAAAGAAGGTCTAAAGGACCAAAGAAGGTCTAAGGAGGTCTAACGGAGGTCTAAAGGAGGTCTAAAGGAGATCCAAAGGAGGTCCAAAGGAGGTCTAAAGGAGGACTAAAGGAGGTCTAAAGGAAGACTAAAGGAGGACTAAAGGAGGTCTAAAGAAGGACTATAGAAGGTCTAAAGGAGCTCTTTAAAGAGGACTAAAGAAGGTCTAAAGGACTAAAGAAGGTCTAAAGGTCTTACGGAGGACTAAAGGAGTTCTAAAGGAGGACTAAATGTGGACTAAAGGAGGACTAAAGGAGGTCTAAAAGACTGAAGGAGGTCTAAAGGAGGACTAACGAAGGTCTTAAGGTCTAAAGGAGGACTCAAGGAGCTCTTTAAAGAGGACTAAAGGAGGTCTAAAGGACTAAAGGAGGTCTAAAGGACTTAAGGAGGTCTAAAGGTCTAAAGGTATAAAGGAAGTCTAAAGGAGGCGGGGCCATGCGTGGGCCGGGCGTGGCCAGGTCTCGTAGACAGGCCTTACGGGGAGCCGGGTACCTTTTCCAGGGCCAGTCCTCCTCCTCCCGCCTCTCCGTGGCCGAGGAGGCCTTCCTGGAGGCGGCCGAGTACGGAAACGTCCCCGAGGTGAGGCGGATGCTGGACGAAATGCCCCTCCTCAACATCAACTGCGTGAACTACATGGGCCAGAACGCGCTCCAACTGTCCGTGGCTAGCCAGCATCTGGACGTAGCCCAGCTCTTACTCAAGAAAAACCACCTGGCGAGGATAGGGGACGCGCTATTGCTAGCTATCAGTAAGGGCTACATCCGGATCGTGGAGGCCATCCTGAGCCACGAGGCGTTCGCGGACGGTCGGAGACTGACCAACAGCCCCAGCCAGACGGAAACGCACGACGACTTTTTCTCCTACGACGAAGACGGGACCCGGTTCTCCCACGACATCACGCCCATCATCCTGGCCTCCCAGTGCAACCAGTACGAGATAGTGCACATGCTTCTTCTGAGAGGGGCCCGGATTGAGAGGCCCCACGATTATTTCTGCCAGTGCGGGACGTGCAATGAAGACCAGTGGAGGGACTCCTTCAGCCTATCCCAGTCCCGGATCAACGCCTACAAAGGCCTGGCCAGTCCGGCCTATCTCTGCCTGTCTAATGAAGACCCCGTGATGGCAGCTCTGGAGCTGAGCAACGAGCTAGCGGTGCTGGCTAACATCGAGAAGGAGTTCAAGGTGCGGTATCCGAACTAGATCCTTGAGTGGAGACCTTTAGGAAACACTAACTGTTTATGCTATAACTTGGATCCAAAGCGACTTACAGAGTAGAAACAATATGTTTATGTGTTAATGTTTATGCATTTGGTAGACGCTTTTATCCCAAAGCGACTTACAGAGTAGACACAATATGACGAAGAGTAATAGGTGGGCCTTGCCTGCGGGAGTGGCCCCCCTAATTACATTAATCATCAGAATCAGAATCAGAATCAGAATCAGAATCAGAATAAGGTTTATTGCCAAGTAGGTTTTTCACTTACAAGGAATTTGCTTTGGTGTTTGGTGCACAAAACTTCTATGAGAAGCAAGAAAGGACATACAATGTAGAAATAAAAATATAGAATAAAATACTAATAATAATAATAAATAATAATAATAATAAAATAAAATATTGAATGTTCAATTTATTATTATTCAATTATTGTGATCAAATTACCGTGCAATAAGTAAAAAATATATGTTGGTGTAGTCTTCTACTGGCTGTTATCAGGTATATCTGAATGTGTACAACAGGGGTTTGAGCAAAGCTTTTACCACTGAATGATGCAAAAAGTCTCAGATCCAAAAGACTTCAGAAACCGAATAAGAAACGACACATTTGGCATTATAGGGTTAAGCACTTTGTAGGCTAGCATTAGGGACTTGAGTTTGATACGGGCAGCCAGAGGTAACCAGTGGAGTTCAATGAACAGAGGGGTTACGTGAGAACTAACTGTGGTGTTTCTCCCTCCGTGTTGCAGAACGATTATAAGAAACTGTCCATGCGGTGCAAAGACTTCGTGGTGGGGATTTTGGATTTGTGTCGAAACACAGAGGAGGTGGAGGCCGTCTTGAATGGGGACACCGAGTCGTGCCCTAAGTCGGAAGTCTTTGGAAGACAAAACCTCATCAGGTTAAAACTAGCAATAAAGTATGAAGTTAAAAAGGTAAGTGTGGACCCACTGACCCTCTGATGTTTGAACCCTCCTCACTTCCTGTTAGGGTTGTCAAAAGTATCAATACTCAAAAAAGTATCGATACTAAAATGTTGTATCCGGATACTCTTATTCATCATTAAGAAGACGTTAGCCTTGAATTGCTAGCTGTGGCTAATGTCTAATAATAACACACCAACATTAATCTAATACGTCTGGCTTCAAACTCCGCCCACATCCAAGTCGGCCATTTTGATTACGTCACCAATCGGAAGATTCCAGGCAAGAAAATCGTAATTGCCTCATGGCAATATAGATAATAATTAAAAAATGGTGAAATTAATCTTTCAAACACTTAATTATACTCTATACATATTATTATGTTAAAATAGTGGATGTTAAATAGGTTTGTACAATAAGTCCAAACAAGTTTAACCGAAAAATATTTATTTCTCACATCTATGAAGGGTGGAGGGTTAGGGTTAGGGTCAGGGTTAGGGTTAGGATTAGGGTTATGGTTAGGGTTAGGGCCAGGGTTAGGGTTAGGGTTAGGGTTAGGGTCATTAATACGGGCCACCAGTCAAGAAAACATCAGTAACAGGTCAGTTTGAAATTAAAGACACTGACCTATCAAAATTCATAAATTTTGGGGTCAGGGTTAGGGTCAGGGTTAGGGTTAGGATCAGGTTTATGGTTAGGGTTAGGGTTAGAGTCATTAATGTGGGCCACCATAACTTCAGTAACAGGTCAGTTTGAAACCAAAGACAATAACCTGTCAAAATTCTGTTACGTTTTGGGGTCTTTGTTTTTATCCTTGTGGTATCGAAAATGGTATAGAGTATTTTCCTGAGTATCGGTATCGAATTGAAAATGTTAGTATCGTGACAACCCTACTTCTACTTCCTGTCTGTCTCCCTCTCTATGGATCTATCAGTTCGTGGCCCATCCAAACTGCCAGCAGCAGCTCCGGGGTATCTGGTACGAGAACCTGTCGGGGCTTCGGCAGCAGACGATGGCGGTGAAGGTGCTGCTGGTTCTCTGTGTGGCCGCCGGGCTGCCCCTGCTGGCCCTCGTTTACTGGATCGCACCTTCAAGTAAGGTTAGTTTCACTAATGTTCAGAACGGGACCGATTGGAAACTATTTGAATATTGTCACATTTGGGGGAATGTATGGTGTGTTGTCATGTCTTCCTTGATTACCTATTGTGTAGACCTGGGGTTCCCTTTAACAAAATATGTAAATGTAAAAAACAGAAATACTCTTTTAATATTAATAATTTATTACTATGCGA